TCCTTAAGTGTGTAAGCAAATAAAGTTTGGCTTTCTTAAGCAAGAAAATGTAACTGTTTATTTAAAATATTTCTTTTCAAGTGTTATAGAATGGAGTCAGATTTAGTTTAAAGGCGAAAATGACTGAATGAAATAATATTCAGGTAGATTCAACACAACAACAACGTCGAACTGTAACAGCAAGGTTTTGTAAGCTTCTTATCGGACTTTATTTGCCATCTTCTTATCGAGAACAGATCTGAAATAAAAGGAAACATTTATTAACAAAATTCTATCTTTTTCTATCCTTATTTGAGGGGGCTTACCTTCCTGCAGTTTTTTATTAAATACTTTTAATCTGATTATGTGCTCAACAAAACGTACCTTCTTATAGCAATGTTCCAAACCTGCCATTACAACTGTGTTTAAGAGTTGCCATTAACCTAATTATCGCAACTAATTCCATTCCCCTTATCGCAGTTTAAGCTATTAATTGACTGAGTTTCTGATTATCACTCAACAGCTGATAAAGACGAAGCAGTCAGCTGTTACCAGGCATACACTGACAAAGAAGGTCTTCCAACCCAGAACTCTCAATTTTTCTCAAGAAAAAAAAAAAGGAAAGAAAGCTTTCAGATTTTATATTACACCCACAGGGGCATTTTTTAACGTTTTGTGCATTACCTTTATTTATTAAATACCATGTTAATCGCACTTATGCCATAGAATTCAGCTCAACAGCAATATCACAAAATATTTAAAAGAGCATATCTTTAGAATTTTCAATACACATTCTTGCGGGCTGAAGTTGTGTGTGTGTACAGTTTTACCACTGTTCGCTTTGAAATCGTTGAGTTTCTTAGTCAAAAACTCAAAAATGTTTTACAAAATATGAATCAGATAATAAAGCAAATTCCAAATTCCGAATTTGGGCTTCCAGATGCCCATATTCGGGTAGAGACGAAAGTTATTCAAAATTTGATGGCTCTAGGTACCGTTGTTTTATCACAATGCGAGAAACATGCATACATTTATGCAAATTCTTCATTATTTTATTTCTTTAAATATAATACAGGGCTGTAATACTTGGTGGCAATAATTCGCCGTTTATAGTGAATCAACGCAAAATACCAAAACGAAATTAATAGCCCTTCTGGGCAAATTGCCTTTTTGGGCTAATAACAACGCGCGTAGTGTTGACAAGCTTGATTGAAATATACAAAAGTATAGAATGGCCCTAGTTAATGCTTATACAATATACTGAATTGCTAATGAAAAATTGTCTTTATTAAATTTCAGAAGAGTAGTTCCAAGGCTAGATAGAGATTTTACACTCTCTATCTGGACATTATTTAGAAAGATGGAAAACAGAGGAAATATGTGATTTGTTTAAAAAAAAAAAAAAAGTTCGGAAACAGTGTGTAAAGTATGATGTTGGATTACGTGTAGAATGTGTCACCACATGCACTCGCACAACAAATTAATCGTATACAATTATTTACATGTAACATGCTATGATCCCCAAATAGAGCTTGATTTTTAAATAAATAAAAATGCTATATTTATTTTCAGTGATGTAAAATTTAGTGCACTGTGCTTGTTTACATGCAAAAAAGGAACTATATCTGAAAACAGAATGTTTAAAAAAATCTGGCAGTTAATGGATTAATATGTTTTTAGTATCACCTACTGCTAACACGTGATTTGATTTTAAAATATAGATGGTTCTATATCCTCAAAAAGAAAGCGAAAAAATGAACTGCTAATCTTCTGCAGATGTAGCAAAAATTATAAAATAAAGGAAAAAAATTTAACCAAATAAGAGCAAACTTTCTCTCAGGATACCCTGCGAAAAATGTCAAAATATATATTTTCAATATTATTCAAAAGATTCTTTACTGTCTTTCCATACATTCCAAAATTAAATTGTAAATATAATTTTATTATTGAAACTAATTAATTAAGTATTTTATTTTTCGATTAATTTAACAAGTTAAATACATCTATTTAGTGACAAATTTAGTTTTAGTTTTATGATTTTATGTTTTCTTGATTTTTATATTTAATTTCTGTAATAAATATATTGCCTTAAAAGTAAAATTTGATTTTTGAATAGAAAAAGTGCACGGTTATAGGTTCGATTCAAATAAATAAATGTCGTTTAAGAATCTAGTAGGTGCATTGAGTTCGAACTCGTAATTCTTTATTTGCACCTTGAGTGTTAAGATTTACTTTTCTTCTGTAACCTTACTAGGTGAAGAGAATTTAGCACAACACAACTTTGCAGTTTATTCTTTGAAGTTAATTTTAATAAAATTTCTCAGGCTTTGTTTATGTTATCTTATATATATTCGCTTAAATGTAAACATTTGTCCTTTAATTTTTATTTATTTATGTTTGAAATTTTTCAAGTGCAAATTAACGTTATTTGAAATTGCAGTCAACTTGATTGCCAAAGGTTTAAAAATTAAGAAGGCACTGGTTCAGATATTTAATTCTAAACTATGTACTTATGTGGTATAAATATAGATAACTTATCTGGACGTTGTTTCAGGATTATACAACATATATTCGAAATTAACAGGTTTTACCCAAACGGTTATTAAACTGAAAAATCCAATTTTTGAGATTTTATGGAATATGACAATTCGAAGGAAATTACGATTAACTAAATAACAGAAGAAATCCTCACGTCGTCAGTTGAGGAAACTGTCTTCGAAAAAATAAATCAGATGGCATATTTGAAAGCGAATTAACAGCTGTTTAGTCAAATAATAAACCGGGGAGGCGAGAAGCATCTATCCTGCTTATAAGATAAAAAGTAGTAAAATTGTAGCATAATATAAGAACCGATTAAAAATATCGAAATGCAGCTTGCAACAAGTTCAAAGTAAAATTAAGTACGTGAAAAATTTACAACATTAATTATTTTAAAAGAGATAGACTTTTTAAGGAAAATTACTCATATTCCATGAGGAAAAATTAGGAAAATTTTCATGCAGTCAAGCCGTTCACCGAGATTTGGAGTGATGTTAAATCAGCTGTATTCAACAATCGCCTTGCATTTTGTAAACTAATAATTGATTGAAACGAATAAACTTATAATTCTTTTCAATCGCTAAATGAAACCAGTATAAAACAAATTACTACTATGATCACTTTTTATTTCACTTTACTTGTGCTATATATTCAATTCGTAATCAACGTATTTATTATCATGGTAACACTAAAATGACTTAAATTTGAGACATCTTTTCTATAGTAAAATGATGTCCATATTTACTTCTATTCTGATTTAATTTTTCAAGGATTAAATTTCCAACAGTTCTGTTTAAGTTACTGAGTATTTACAGCCCAAAATTTTATCTTTTCATTCATTAGTGTACATTTTTGTTGCAGGAATTGATCAGCTTGGTGACGTTCCAAATTTTCAGACCTGTACTCTGAAAATTTTCAAAGTCTCTTAATAATGTCACATCGCCGAATCTCCTATATTTTACAGTCTTTTAACTGCCAATCTGTAGAATAATAGCGGGTAATTTTTTACTATTATGACGTTCTAAATGAGTAGAACAGAATGCATTGCTCTTAAAAAACTGAGAATTCAAAGTTGGAAGATCTTCCTTGTTAGTCGATTAATTCTCAAAATCAATAACTAACAAATAAAAATTAATAATGAATGATAAATATGATTCTAAATATTACTGATTGATGGAGTACGTTATGTAATATGATTACAATTAACTATCAGCCTATAATTTTGTATGAAATCAAAATTTGTATTAAATTGGTAAAATCAAATTGATGAACCTTAATCTAAAATATAAATTGTAATTTTGTATATAAAATAACATGTTTCCTCATTCAAAATTGCTTGGGAACTTCCCTGCATCCGGAGTTACGATTGACAGAATAGTTAATTAATTAAATTAAAGGTGAACTTATTTGCACTGGACGTGGTGAAAATTAGAAGATTTCAGATTCAGACTGGAGTGGAGTTAATTCAAGCTTTTTCAAAAGAATTACCATAACACTGGTGACTATTTTGAAATAAATGCTAGAGCAAATAATACTAGGAAAAAAAAATAATATTAGAAATTTATATAAATTATCTAGTTTTGTTCTGTACTTTTTTACGTTACCATAATGACCGTTCTATTAAAACGGATTTGTCAAACCTATCACATGGAGCAGAGAAAGAGTAGAGGTCCGTATTGATTATAGATTTTTTAAGGCTCATTAATATCACAATTTGGATAGAATAAGGCATTAGATACAACAATGCAGTGTTTTGGGAAAGGGGAGTCAAATGTCATAATTTGGAAAAGGATATCTTTATTAATGTTTCTTGCTTTAATTCACAGAAATCTGAATACTAAGAATCATTGAAATGTAATACTAGATATATTAGGTTGTTTACCCTATTCAGATTTTTTATATATGTATTTAAATAAGATAAAAATCGTAATGAAGATAAGCAATTCAGATTCCACTAAATTCCTACACTAAGTGATCCTGGAGGCATTTTATCATTTTCAAAATGATGCTCCCCCCTAAAAACATGCATTTCTTTTTTAGCTCCTTGATGTACCGAATATTTCCCGAATCTCCAGACCCTTAACAATGGAGTCTGTCATTTTGTTTTTTACGGATCTCACAGGAACTATCTATCTGAACAAAAATGGCGAGAAACCAATTATTTATTTTTAAAAAAAAGGTAAAATTCTGAAAAAAAAATTTACATTCAGCAACTCATTTCCTTCACGATAAATATCGTAAGGCGCTTCCTCGAAGGCTCCAGTAACATACTGGATGCTCCAAGGTGCAAAATCAGAGTATATCGAGTTGTGAATATTTGAATCAATATAGGAAAATCCGAAGCAAATATCGTACGTACTTTCTCCAGTAATCTCCAAACGCAAGCGTAAATGGTTTATCTCTGTTGTTCCCTATATCAACTTTGAATGCTGACCCTTCAGCACGAACGTCACATAGTATCCTGTTTAGCCACTCTGCAGTAGCCATTGAAACGGAGTGGGCGTCAGACTTTGTTGCGACATCGCTTCCTCTTCGATTTCAAGGTTCATGAGCAGCAATCCAACTTATGGTCGGCATAGCACCATCTAAATTTGAATAACCGCGCAGTTCGAGTGATGAGTATCTACTTAAGGTACCGCTGGCTTCTAGTTCTGCTGGTGGTGTCCACATGTTTGTTGCTCACGTGAGTAATTTTTTTAAATTGCATAACAGAGTTTTTTTCCTATTCTTCAATACATTGTAGAATAAAATAGTAATTAAGTAATGCAGTTAATATCTTGAATTATCCACGTTTCGTCGTCCAAGATTTTAAAACCAAAATTTTGAGAGTTAATATTTAGAATAAGAAACTTAGCAGATAAAACTTCTGGAAAATACTGTCGATATTTTCCAAATTTATGATAAAATACTTAGATTAATTCAAATTCTCTTTGGTACAGTGCCATTAAGAAGTTTCGACACCGCAAAGATAAGCTTTATCGACAACAACATTAATGTAAAATCGATGCTACCATTAACCGGAATCAAATATTGAAATAAATTTAGGCCTTTGATGTAATGATACCATAGAGTTTCTACCTATTTATAAAAAGCTAAATCTGTCTTTTTATATGAGATTTGTTATTAAGCTAACACACACTGATGTATTCGATTAGCGGTAAAGGTGATATTTTTAGCTTAAAATTCATAAATTCATTTATTAAAAATTTGAACTTCAAATGTAAAGAATTATTATGTTAACAGTACACATATCAATCACTGAAAATAAAGTAATTGTAGAGTTGATTTAATATGGTTAAGTAAAAAGTTTTCGTGTCTTATTTTCATAGATCTTTTTAATATTTAATTAATAAGTATTACTGATTTAAGTAATCGTTTTTTCCTTCAAAAAATTCATTAATATTTTACGAATTATACAAAATATTTTAAATTATACAAAAATATAGTGAAATTAATCTAAGATGATCACCCACGATTATCTTGATCATTCTGGTCTTCTTTGGAGGTTGTTTTCTTAGAAAGGAGATGTTTAATACATAGGTTTATACATGTTCTAAGAAATCCTGATTACTCTCGGAGATGGTCGCTCCAATAAATTTCTGTCATATTTATGAAAATCATATTTATGAAATTTTTGTCATTTTCTGTCTATCATATTTTATGAAATTCCTCCATCCAATTCTGAAAGTAGAGTAAAACTTTATTTGAGGGGAAATTAATGTTTTCTAAAATAAAATTTAATAAATGCTAAAATACTAGTGATTGCCTTGATGTATACAGTCATAATCTCTTTTTAATCTCTTTTGATCTTGTTCAAAAATTAATATGTATTGCGAAACGTTATATATTCGGAACAAGTAATGATATCCTGAAATTTTTGAATAACTGCAAAGCGGAAAGCAAGAAGCGGAAAGCAAGAAGCGGAAAACAAGCTGAAATTTAATAACTATCAAACATCTGCACCTTGACCTTTAACCTTAGTTTCATTAAAGAAAAGCTGAATACATTTTAATAGACAACAGAAACGAAAAGGAGTACACAAGAATCCATGTAGGAATAATTCATTTTCAGAACATTGTATATCGGTGCTAATGCCCACTGAAACGCATTCAGTGACTTTTTGTTGAAATGAAATCCAAGTTATGTAAAGAATTTTATCAGTGATTAAGTCATACAGCTATGCTAATCCAAATAAGAAGCTCAGAGTTGAGATTAACTAGCAAATTACTGTGGGATGCGATATATTTAGAGGTCACTGTGATTGATTTCCTATCTACACTATCAGATTTATTACCAGATTAATTTAAGAATTCATGCGAAAATGAACTACTTGAATTAGTGATTAAAATGTTCGTAAATTAGAGATTTGGGAAACTAATGTATTAGAAGTTATTTATTAAAATTCATGCAAATGATTGCTATTATTCAGGACAGATTTTAAAAAATCCTTTAGAAGCACATTTAAAGGAATAGAAATCTTATTAATAATAAAAATGTCATAAAGGGATTTCAAACTTAGTTATTTTATAGACAAATATTGTAATAGAGCGATTTAAAATGCATAATCTCGTACCAGTAGACCGAACTTCCACTTCAGCTTGCTAATAAAAGAAAGAATTCTCTAATCTGCAAGGTCAACAACTTTCGTTTCAATGTTTACAATATAAATCAGAGTGTTCATTTTTTAAAAAAACTTTTTATGTGCTAAATTCTGGACTACGCAGTTATTTCCCCTGTTAATAATATATCAAAGCTAGTAAGGTCTTTTCGTTAACTTCTGTACATTAGTAAAACTACAGCCTCTTGTTACATAATTATCGAAATGCAGTAATGCTATTAATTCATCATATTTCAGTGCAATGAATAATAATTAGATATTAAAACTCGAAATATAATAATTAGATTAACTAAATAATAATCAGATTCTTCATGCGTAACGCATGATTGTCAGCCATCAGATGTCAGATGATGTAACTGATAGAAAAATTTTTTAATCTCCGATTGTATTAAAATAATCATTACTATTCTAGTGTAATTTAAAATTTTCTGAGTTGCTGTCTTGAATATAACTTCTATAACATGAAACAAAAATAAACTTAAGCATTCCAGTTCCACTAAAATATAAGCAATTATTATTTTTGACTATCTCGTACTGGAATACGAAGTCAATTAATGTATAAAAATTTCAGATAGCTTAGTGTCGTTCTTTTAAAAGCTATGTGTTAAACGTACAGGAATGCATATTGATATCTCGAGTCCGCATGAACAGAAGATATATTATTTTTAAATAAAAAAAGTGTAATTAAGTTAAACGGGAAAAAAACTAGCGCATATTGTGCACATTTCCCTTAGTCTGAAAAGTTTTTTGATATTCTTAGCATCTCGAAATAATATTTTTAGAGAGATCTTAAACCTCTAGCAAGCAGAAATTTTGGAGCGCATTACAAAACCCTATTATTCACAAAATCTCTGACTAGACACTGATCCCAGGAGATTCAAAGAATACAAATCTGATTTTATTTGCATAACTTTCGGCTTCAAATATAGACTTTGACTTACAGTCTCTTCAAATATAGACTTTGCATAGAGATGCAAGTCATTCTGTTGCATCTAAATTGACTTCAATTTAGATGCAACAGAACACTGTAATATATGGCAAGAATAATGAATGAATTAACAAATTTATCATTTGAGATTCTTTTGACATTATGAGTTTATCACTGTTGTATCTGCAATCTTTCTTCGCAATTAAACATGGCGTAAGTGCAAAGTTTTAAGCCTCTTAACTGTGTGATAGCATACAGGTTAATTAAATATATTTTAATGAATTTTAATGAACAACCTTTTTGTCATGTGTTTCTAGTCCAACTACTAATTTGTGAATTGCTTCATATTTTCCAAATCGCCTGCTGAATATACATGAAAGGCATTATATGTGAATATTCAAAATTTATGCAATTAAAAATACTATTATAGTATTTAAATAGAGCTTCCAAAAATTCGAATCTCTATTAATTAGCTGTTTACTAGCATAAATTTTTATTTTATATGACAAGCATGTCTCAGATGTTTTGCCTGCCATGGATATTTTCACTTACGTAAGAAATATTTTTATTATATTCACGTATTTATTTTGCTTTTATATGAAAAAATCAGAAATATTAAATTAAAATTAGAAATTTCATTTACAGACATGAGCATCATTAGTTATATTTAATGTACGTTCTACTTTTTAACAAACTTAACCATTTTGACAAAACAATTCAAATCTTTTGTAAAAGAATTCTTCTGTTTACCACATTATTCAAGAATGCATCTCGTTTCTTTAATTAGCTTTTCTTTGATTATTTACAATCGTTTTCAGTGATCTTCTTGTTTTATAAGCAATCAATTTCTTTTTTCGATTTGTATATATAAAGGAATACTGAGAATGCTTTCGAATTAAGGAAATAAATCACTAAATCTTGCGTAAGAATATATTTTTTGAGAAGACTGCTTCATTTTATAATATTTCAAAATAACTAAAGCATGTAATTTTCCAATAAAATATTTTCTTTAACGGGCATTTTCAAATACTTTATGTATATTATAAACATACTTTATCCGATGTCCATATTCATATTTATTTTCTGTTTTAAATAACTCAAAGATTATTTCAAAACGCTATTTGTTTACAGCAAGTAGTCTAAATTGCCTTTTCATGAGAAATGATTATCATTTGCTGAAAGCAAATTTTATTAGAAGCAAATGATAATTCATCGTTCAGTGTAAAAGTTGTCGAAAATGAATTTTTTTATGTTTCATTGTTTTTAGTACTTATTCAAAAATGCTCAAAAAAACGAGCGAGTAAACTCAATATTTGATAGAAATATTATTTTAAAAATTTCTCTCGTGCATATGAAAACTTTGGATGCTAGATCAATTTCCATAAAATACCTCTTTTTATTCCCATCCAACAATATTAACGAATATTAGTCAACAATATTAATGCATATTTTGCATGTTGCAGTTTGTGTATGAATGCATGGCGTGCGATTAGCTTTGTCGAAAGTTAAAAGCACTACAAAAACCTGACATCATCTTAAGCGCTGGCAGTGCATGTGTACTTAAGCAGTGCATGTATACGAAAAACTGCAACTGCTACTTTGCGAGTAATAATCATTATTTTCATGTCTTCATATCTTATATCTGGCAATCTGGCTGATAGAAAATATTTATTGCATTATAGATTTCAATATTTTTAGGTCCAGTTGCTGGCATTGGTAGTTTTTACAAGATCTAGATTTCATGCATTTTTATGCTTATTCAGTAGCAGAAAAGCAGTTAGTGTTTTGAAACTCTGTTTAAAAATCAATGAATTAAGATCCTGTTCAAGGATTGATTAAAACAGTTTAAGACCTTTTTCTGCTTTTATGAATTTAAAAAATTGCAAAGAATTATATGATATTTTTTTTTAATTGCAAAGAATTATATGATAATTTTTTAGCGCTGTCAAATCTAAAGCCTTTGGCTAGGCCATGTAGGCCGAGGCAAATAAAATTCCCTGATCATGTTTAAAAGCGCAAAAGAGTAGGTTTAAAAACTAGACGTTAAAACTTACGCTGATTCAGTGATTTGAAATGCAACTCAATAGCAGGTACAAAGGAAAAAGGAACCAATGCGAAAAATGAATTACTAATATGA